CCCAACTTTTGCCTTTTAAGATTGTAATATATACACCACTACTCTTAAAAGTTTGAACCGATTGGAAAAACCCATTACATTGCTCCAAGAAGGTTCTTTTGTGATGATTAATACTTCGTTTTTATATTCTTCTTGCCAAGTTTCATCTTCCAAATCTCTATATTTCAACTCGTGTGGCCATAGGTTTTCTGACGAATAAAACCATTCTGGGCCCTTCCACCAACGTTGACTCAGTACCAGCTCTTGTAATGTACGACTTCTGGCCACCAAATCTCCTGCGTTGTCTTTGGTTGGGAGATACTGCATCTCGATAGCCTTTGCCTGTTTTATTTCTGCTAACCTGTTAGTAACGAAAAATGATAGAATTTTTGAAGTTTTCATCCAATACAAAACACATTTTGAATCTGTCTTTATCACCTTCCGTACTATTGTTAACTGCAATTGCTTTTTGACATATTGAGTTGCGCGCACTTCGATTAACGTAGATAATAATTCTAATCTAGGTATTGAAATATCTTTTGCCGGCGGTAATCGATTCTTATTAATTATCAACTCGGTATGGTATCCATGTCTTGTCTCACTCCTCAAATACAATGTCGCGGTATACGCACACTGAGAGGCATAAAAGGTATGTGTTTAATTCCTATCCATTTTCTTGTCTTCTGGCTATTGCCTTTCTTGGTACTCCAATCTTCTCTACGACATTCCACAATCTTTGTATTTCGTCCCAGTCCTGTTGAATTTCTCATGGCACTCTTTCATCCCAGGTGAACGACTTTCCGTAATAACTGGACCAGTAACTTAGCTTTTAAGTTAGCCGGCACCAACAGACCCAAAAGGTCGTAATTTTGTGCTAACCGTAATAAGATCGTACATTTTTTTACCCATTCATTTGGTTTAATTTCATTATGGACAAAAAGTTTTGCTTTCTATCCACCAAGTCTTCCCCAATACCTTTTGAGATTGTGCGTTGCCTCGATCCTCTTCTGGAATAATTTTACTGAATTCTGGAATATTTGTCCAAGCGCATGTATTAAATGAAGTCTTTTTAAAAATATGTTTGATTACCTCGTACAAATGCACTATCTCATCGCTGGTGTCACCACCTGAAATCAAGTTATCCGCATTAAATTGATTTATTGTCGTTTATACCAAGTTTGCTTCCTATAGGTCATTTTCCTTGAGAATCTTTTGATTTTCATTCTTCAGATGATACGTGGCAACTGCACTTAAGAGAAACGGGCTAGATATCACTCCGAAAGTGATTCTCTTAAATCTATAAATTATGAAATATTCAGGGGACACCCCTTTCTGCCTGTTCTTTATCCACAGGAACCGTGTTGTGTCTCGATCTGGTTCATAGAGTTCGATTTGAAGAAAGACCTTTTCAATGTCTGCAATTACTCCGTGAGCAAAGGTACGGAATCGACATATTTCAAATAATTCTGGCAACATGACTGGTCGCTTGTAGAGATTTTTATTTAGGCTTAGTGCTTTTTTCCCGACTTCGCTGAAATATCGTAAACTATCCTAACTATGGTTGTTTTTTTACCAGGCGTTATCACCGGGTGATGGGGGAGGTGAGAGATATTGGAACACTTCTCGTTATCTTTTACCTCCTCAATAATCCTTTCTGGTAATTGTCCCTGTATGATTACTTCGTATTTGCACTCGATTAATAACACTTTTTACCCGAAAATAACACAGTCGATAGTTATCTGAAAATGTATTATTAAGGCCGTTATACGGCCGACTTACTATATATCGGCTGTTCTTGAAACCTTATGTCCGGTAGAACTGTTTTAATCCTTCCCCTTTTTCAATGCATTCTGGTGACTCCTTAATCACCGGTGATTCCAAATCCCAAAGTTTCTCCATTGTTGATGGTAGGGTATAGCATGCTACTACGCTGTTCGGCGCAATATCGTTTTCCTGTCCTGCAAATTGTTTACCTATTAACATAGCACGCAGTTTTGTAGTAACTACGAAGAATCCATCTGTTGTTTTCTATAGATCTAACTCTATTGAGTACCAACAGTAGTCAACTCTAGCTAAAATATCTTACTCTACCGCTTGGACTGTTACTGTAGTTCAGTAATCGACTTTTATTCTGATATTTGTTTTGGTTTTCATCGTAATAATGACATTAAGACACAACGTACGGCACATGCCATTACAGAAACGCAAGTTTATCTCTATTTTAGAAAAAGTAAACTCAATAGAATTACACGCTGCGAACGCGTGCAGTTTTAGCCGATCACTGCTGATTGCCGGTGCGTTTATATTCTTAACCAGTCTACTTGTCATAAAAGAGTGTCAAACAACAAATGTATCTCTTGTTGTAGGTCTTCATGAATCGAGTTTCTGACTCTTGCGTTCACCACGGGTAGGAACATTTCATCTACTTTTTCTTTTGTGACGGCCTCAATTTCCAGCGATGTAGCTTGAACACTAGCTTCGACCTTCCTCACTTCCGGCAACTTCGTATTGGTTCCGATGCTGGTTTGCCTTGCAAACCTTCCACAGTATGCGCTGTTGTTATTACCTTTACAGTAATAGCATACTTTAAGCTTTTTGCATTTGGAAAACTGATGTCCTCTTTTCAGACAACGAACACAATCCGAGCTCGTATGTCCTTCTCTTTCTTTGTTTTACTATCTTGTGTATAGCACAATTGCTATTAAAGTAATAGCTCCCGCAGAACACACAAGACTGAGTCGGTTTCATTCGTCGACCATCCGCTACTCTATAAGTTGTTGCTTTCTTCACAGATGTTTGTCTTGCATTTCTTGGAATTCACCCTTCTTCCACTCCACCGAATCTTCGTGTAACATTGCATTTTATGCTTTCATGTGCTTTCACCATTTTGATATAGTAGTTCCGCGAGGTCTACAAAACTCCAGTTACTCCTCGTTTTAACCCTTACATTTGTTATTTCTTGTGCAATGTCAGGAGGAAATTTTTCTCCGAGAAGCATTGTAACCACCATCTTGTCTATATCGCGTTCAAGGCCCCGCGATTGTTGTAAATTACAGCTTACCTGTCTTACTACGGCGCACAAGTTGACAGCCTATCCACAGCAGGAGGGACAGCTCGTAGGCGATAGTAGATTGCCTAATATCTCAGTTTTTCACTTCCAACCCGTTTGACTAAGGTGTCAGTCGCCTGTTGATATGTTTCCTCACTTTGTAGTAAATATTCGACCGCCATCTTGGCTTTCCCTTCTAACAGTGAGACTAAGTGCTGAACTTTGCCTAATATGCGAATGCTGTCATTGGTATTTATAGTCGTGGTGAAATATTTCTAAAACGTATTTCATTTCATTAGATTTCCGTTAAGCTTTGACGGTTGATCCCGATAGTTTTAGTCTCACTGAGTACGCTTCTGCCTCAGTTTTCGTCGTGTCTCTTGTTCTTTCAGTATACGCTCTTCTTTGGGCTTATAGTTTTATTTTCTTAAATGCTTTCGTAGCAACTGCTACTAACTTTGAAAAATTTATTTTCCTTCAAACTTTCGATATACCTCATTCTCTAGCGCCAATCTTCCCTCCTTCAGACTCATTAATCACCCGTTCCACAGTTTACTTCCCTTTCCTAAACTACTGATCGTTTCCTTAAATATAAGTGGTTGTTCCTGGGCCTCTTACAGTTCTAGGTGTTCCACTGAACAGCAACCCCTATACCCTAGCAATTCTTCCCGAAGTCCTTTGCTGTGGACTTCACTTGCTAATCTGATGCGCTCCGAAATCTTTCCATTAACGCATTCTTTTCCTGCCTTCCCTCTGGATAGCTTCTCGGGATCTTTGGTTTATTAACAGCGATTATGTGCTTAAGTTGTTTACCCGAACTGAGTTTGTGCACATCTTTAGGTCGCTGGTTCGAATCCAGGGGACTTGATCACAACCCCTCTACAGCGACCCCGCTGGGATCCTTGTTCCTACAGTTATCCACAGCAAGCAGTTATAGTTGTCAACGCTTGCAGCACTATACTGAGGACTGTATGTTTTGAACGGATGTCAGGTGGTAGCAATGTTGCATGCTTTACCTTACTCGATAACGTTTTATTAATTCAAAATCCCCAAATATTACAGCTAAGCGAGTACTGTAGAGGCGACGGTACAGATGGATAGATAAAGGCCACCGAGTAAACAGCTTATAAGCCTTTTTGCCGTATTAAAATCAACTTTTAATGAAGAGAAACATAGAGCGGACAAGCACTTAGTAGTTTCAAAGAAATATAAGGAATTATCACTATAATAAATACAAACGAAGTATCTTTAAACAAACTGAAACCCAAGAAAATCAAGAAGTTTTAAATAATAAACAGTTTGAGGCTAGAGTTTTGACAAGGAACGAGTTTAGAACGAAAATTAACAAAGCTGCACAGTGGGCACGATAAGACCGAAAGATAGCAATCACTAGCTTGAACGTCTTTGTACATCTTGACTTGGTAATGATCTTTCAGCATAGCCACCGAGAGCATCCGCCCAGGGCCATGCTTAGTTTTTTACCGTCCCCGGTTTTTGAGTTCACTTCGCGTGCCGTTGTAACAGGACTAGACTCTTTTACCACCTTTACATTCTAAGGTGACACTTGGTTACAAAAAGAAAAAAATTGTTTCGCTACCACAACAGAAAAGAGATTTCTAAAATCAAAAAAATTGGAGCATGGAGAAACAGATATAAGTTCATATGGGGATTTCTTAGACGTGTAATTCAAACAACAACCATATCAATTATACGAAAACATTAAAGGAAAATAATGAGGTCGCAAACAACAAATGCTTAAGTGAATGCAAAATCCGCTCACATCACCGAGAACGTCCTTCAAAGTTTTGTCAAACAAATTTTGAAAATGAAACAGAAAATTTTGAAAAGGATCTAAAAATTAAAAAAATTTAAAGCTGTATAAATTAAGACAAAAAATAAGAAAAAACCTGAATAATATACTGTTTGTTCTGCCGAAGATTCAAAAAAAGGCAAGAAATGAAAAAGAATGAAATTAACGTAGTAACAAATTTAAGGCAACCACTTGTACCGCAGAGCCGGCAACAACCGCTTTCGACGAATCCAGTTCTACTTCATCTAACAGGTCGAGAGAAGAGGGATCAGCTACTTGAAGCATTACCGCTTTTACATAAGCCAACTAACCAAAACCATGATATTTAGATAGATTCAATGCAGTTATGTACTTCTGGGTACTTTTCATCTTAGTCTTACTAACTTTTCAACTATAAGCTAATGAACAAGCACCAGCATTTTAAACTTTAACGAAAAAAATAAACAGCCAACTTACTCTATGAACAGCCTCGATATATCGAAAAACAGCCAGCCGACAGTCAACAGAAACTGATATTATGTAGCTATCGCCAGATTTTTTATCGATGTAGAAGCGAAGATCTAAATTTAGTATTGGAATATGATCTATTTTCATCTGAACACCAAATCTAATAAGCAGCGGCCCGACGAAACTTTTTTCAACACTGTCTTACCTCCACTCCATACACTTTTTAAGCAAAACAGCAACGAATTGAAAAAAAAACGTGACTTCCGGCCTGAGAAAAGTAAAGAATAGACAGTTCTTATCACCAAGTGAGCTATTAGCAGTGTAAAAAAATAAAAGTGTGATACAATGGTGTTAAGGAGAGTAAAAGTGAACAACTTCTGTAAAAATGCGGGAATCTACAACGCTTTTAAACTTTTAATGCACAAAGCTTAGTAATTCTGAAACTATTGAACAGGCCGAATCACTTCACTAACCTGTGCATGTTGCAGCATGATACGAAATACGAGTGATCAATGGACCATTGTCTGGGAACTTCAGAGCCGTCAAAGAACCTGACTCCGACCCCACAGCGGCAACTGGGCCTGACCCTTAATCAAATTGAGCTTAATAAACAGAATCGTTAATTAATGTTGAACATCCACAAAATTTTAAAATACCTGTGTAGCAAGCGTGGAGTGCACTAAGTCCCGATTTTTCCAGAAAAACTGTTTTATATTCATGTGGCTGATTAACATTTGGCCAAAACAGTGCCTTCCCAACGCTTGTGACGGCAAAAAGTAAGACGTCGTTGTGGACTTGCATAGCGTAAACTTTTGTGCACAAGAAATGTTCTTCTAAGAAGGTGTGCAAAGTGAATATTTCATCTGGCAAATCCTTCCCCTCATTCCATTTATATAAGCTAAAAAACAGGCTCTTAAACATAGGTATATTTAAAACCAGCTACTCGCACCTTTTTAATGTTTCACTAAAACGCGAAAAGCAACCAATATTGATTAAAAACGTAAACTTATAAAGCAATCTGAATCCCGTAAAAAATATTTTTAAAACGTACAGTAGTCTACCGTCAGAACCGCTAACAACCATCGATACTGGTTCTGTCGCAAATAAACAGACAGAAATAAGCCTACAGTCGCCTTTAAATCTCTTCTTGTGAACATTTTTTAGACTTTCTGAAAAAAAATTGAGGAAACTGAACTGACCATAACACTGCAAAGGCTACCATCAATACTAAAAACTTCTCTATATACATTGTAAAAAAATATTTCTTCTCAACAAAACTCAATGGAAATTAAAAATAATGCCACATGATCATAAAAAAGAGCCACTGATCAAAGCATTAACGAATATAACAAATTTCCCAATTAAAGCAACCTTCTTTGACGCGCCACAAAAGGAGCTCAGATTTTCCGCCTGCAGAAGCTACATAATCACCAGTGGTTGAAAGGGCGTACACGCTTGAGGTATGCTCCCTCGCCCGAAACGGTACTAATGGAGATGCTGTAAAAATGCGGCTCAATTTTCAATTTGAAGTAGATAGCAATCAACTCTTGTGAATGGCACTTCTTTCGTTATACCGTCAGATGTCACCCATGAAACGGCAACAGCAGTGTCCAATCCTCCTGTGATAAACAGCTTCTTCTCGCCGTTAAAAACGCACAAGGAAGTAATGTTGGACGTGTGTGCATTGTACTAAAAATCACTAAGAATTTAAAGACGAAAGAGTAATTTTACCGCCCGGAATGAATATGTAGTCAGTAAGCAAAGGCTTACTGATATCAGCGAAATGCTGTATAAATGTAACAATGCAGTGACGACACAACCCTTCTGAATGAAAGTAAAATAAGCTTCTAGTGGCAGTCCATCATTTCCATGACCATTTAATAGAATATCCCAGTTTCGATGACCACCACCACACATAAACTGGCAAATACAATGACCGCTGTTATAATGTATAAGGAGGAAATCAGACTGAAAAATTTTAATAAGGAAATTTCAAGAGTGACAATAAAATTGCTGCATTAAACCTTAACAATGAAGTAGAAAAGCAAGATATCTAATCCTTACTCCATAGAAGCCAGCTACAAAAAGGTGTTTGTTGTAAGAGATAAATTTGCAAGGCCATTCCATAGGGATCAACTGCGTCACTCTACTACGTTCTACCAAAGTTAATGTACCATCTACAATAGAATTACCATGTTACACGACACAAAACAATTATAATTCCAATGCAATCATGACTAACATCTATGACAACTCTTCCTGTTGATTGATTTTCATTGTTCTTCTTAAACAAGTGCACTTCATGTTCTATAAAAATCTAATCAACACGAATTTAAGCGAAAAAGATTTAGTAAAACCTTAATTGTTTAATAGTGTCTTCTATATGAATAATGAGATGTATAACATCAAAGTTATTTCCTTTTG